CCAAAAAATTTAGGGAACAGCTTACCTAACTAGAAGAGATCCATATTTGTGCCCATTCCAAAGAGAGGTAACCCAATAGAATATGGAAATCATTGGTAAATATCATTAATATTGCATGCAAGTAAAATTTTGATAAAGATAATTAAAAAATGGCTGTAACCACATATTGACAGAGAACTGTCAGAGGTTCAAACTGGATTCAAAAGAGGATGTGGAATGAGATATACAATTGCTGACATCAGATGGATCTTGACTGAAAGCAGAGAATACCCGAAAGATGTTTACTTGTGCTTTATTGATTATGTAAAGGCTTTCAATGGTGTGGATCAGGACATGGATTATATGGACAATGTTGCAAAGGATGAATATTGTGAAACATTTAATTGTGCTCAGGTGGAACCTTACATAGACCAAGAGGCAATTGTTTGAAAAGAACAAGGGAACACTGAGTGGCTTAAAATTAGGGAAGTTGTGTGTCAGGGTTGTGTTCTTTCACCATACTTATTCAGCCGTATGCTGTACATATAATCTGATAAACTTTATTATATGAAGAAGAATGTGGTTATCAGGATTGGAGGAAGACTAATTAACAACTTGTGATATGCAAATGATACAACCTTGCTTGCTGAAAGTGAAGTGTTAAAATACTTACTGATGAAGATCAAAGACCACAGCTGTCAGTATGAGTTGTACCTCAATGTAAAGAAAACAAAAATCCTCACTGTTGGACCAATAAACAACATCCATATAAATGGAGAAAAGATTGAAGTTGTCAAAGACTTAATTTTGCTCAGATTACCCATCAATACTCAAGGAAGCAGCAGTCAATCAAACAACATTAGGCAAATCTGTTGCACGAGACATCTTTAAAGTGTTCAAGAGCAAATACGTTAGTTTGAGGACTATGTGCTCTTGACCCAAACCATGCAAAAGATGGACAGTGAATAAGGAAGACTGTAGAAGAATTGATGCATTTGAGCTATGGTTTTGAAGGAGAACATTGAAAGTATCATGGACTGCCAAAAGAATCAACAGATCTGTGTTGGAAGAAGTACAGGCAGATTGCTCCTTGGAAGCCAGGATGGCCAGACTTCATCTCTTATACTTTGGACATATTTTCAGGAGGGACCGTCCCTGGAAAAGGACATCTTGTTTGGTAAAGTGGAGGGTCAGAAAAAAAGAGGAAGACCCCCATTGAGGTGCATTGGCACAGTGGCAGCAGATACAGGCTCAAGTGTAGTAAATATTGAGAGGTTAGCACAGGACCAGGCAATATCACTGACTAGGTACTGACATGATGGCACCTAACAACAACAACAACAACAAGAAAATCATAACTTCCTCCCATGTTTAAAAGCTTATTTGTAAAGACTTAAAAATTATCCTGGTATATTTTCTTTTAAATTGTGTATTATCATCTTCTCTGTTGTTTTGTTGATATTATCATTTGCTCCTTCCAAAAAAAATCTGTTGGTCAATGAATATATTAATTCCACTGTTTGCTAATTTGTCCATGTGTGCATGAGATTCATTCCTTCTTCCCTTAGGTTGCTGGATGTCCTTGCCAACTTCCTGAGTGTTCTGGGATATAATTAAGATGAGACTTTGGGATCCTAAAGCAAGACAGTAAGACACCAGGGGAGCATCCCTGCAGAGGAGTTACAGCAATAGTGACAATCCAACCCTAGAATGCTCTCCAGTGCCCTGTGTTTAGGGTTAGCAAGTTGGGGAGGAGGGTTGTAGGTGTTGGGTGGGAGGAAGCCCAGAAAGGCAAATTAGGAGGATTGTCAATAAGTGTAATTGTGCCAGGTAAATGGGGAGGTAAAACGGAAGGTTTCTTATATCTCACTCTAAAGTATAATGACACCCTTACAGGTGAAGTAGAACCTCTCAGAGTCCTGGTGAAATCTTCACCTCCAATGTGTCAGGTGCAAGGTGCTCTAAGGCTGCTTTTAAGAGAAGAAAAGTGAATCCAGAAAGAGAATGAGAGGGAGATCGACCAATCAAGAGAAGTGAGAAAAAAGTCAACTTTCTTGAAAATGAACTGGGTAAACTAAAGTAAGGCCCAGGGTGAAGTGACGAGAGTGTCCAGGAAGCCCGCTGTGTGTGAGTGGTTTGGGTTTTGTGGTCCAGCTCAGATGCTCTGTTGCTGCCTTGGCCTCACTGGCATTGCTGTGCTCCTTTCTAACCCGCCCCTTCTCCGTATGGAGAGTGCTAGGACCCTACATGGCTTCACAGCTTTGGAGACCATGAAAAGGTCTTTTCAATTTCATGTCCATGAGTCTTTTTTGATCCACGAGTTTTATTAAGTGCACCCAGCATGTTTGTTAAAAGGATTTGATCACCCTATTTCTGTCCTGGTTTACATCAGTATGCATGGAACAGAGGGGCGGGAGATGCAAGGAGCTGTTGTCAGTCCTGGAGGGCCTTTCTGGTGAGAGCACGGTGCTTAGAGGAGGGGTTCTTACAGTTCTGGGGAGTTTGGGAATGGAAGGTCTGTGGTCGGTGAGGAAGATAGGAAGAGCAGCAGGAAAGGAGATTGGAGTCTGAAGGAGGGGCTACTGTGCTGGAAATCTTGGGGTGACAGAGGGCAGGGTGTGATGGGGGGCTGGTGTGGAGGGGGGATGAAGCTTCAGGAGGACTGACCCCTGGAGCCCACTGACCCAGGCCCGTCCAGGTGAGGAGCTGGGACTGCCTTGTGTTTTTCAGGCTGCATGACACTGAGCGGCCCCAGTACCGTGATGGGCACTGAGGGAGGATCTCTGACAGTGAAGTGTCACTACGAGAAGGAATTTGTGGAGCACAGAAAATACTGGTGCAAAGGAAACTATGAGAGCCTATGCCAGAAGATTGTGGAGACCGGGGGGACAGTGAGAAAGAAGACGAAGGGCCAAGTGTCCATCGAGGACAATTTTGACCAGCTCAGCTTCACAGTGACCATGAAGGAACTCACAGTGGAAGACGATGGCATATACTGGTGTGGGATTGAAAAATCATGGCTCAGTGATGAATCAGGATTCGATCTTGTCTTCAAGGTGGTGGTGTCTGTGTCCCCAGGTGAGCTCTCCTATCCCCCTTCCCCCCATCAGCACCAGGGCTGCCTGAACAAGCTCAGTCAGAATAGTTGGGGCAGGTCTCAGATGAGAGACTGGGGGCGGGGGGGAACCGCATGTGAGTGTATGTGTGTGTGAGAGAGAGAGCCCCCAAGCTCAGCTGGCCTTGCCCTGACTTTGTAGATATCTCAGTGGGCCTGGGCAGCAAGTGACAGGGTATGACCGAACCCAGAGAGCAGTGGGGACCTTGTGCCTTCTGCCCCTACTCAGGAGGTTGAAAGCAGAGCCTGCAAAGAAGGGAGAGGTCAGTCCCCCAGAAACTCAGAGCACATGGGGGGCAGAGCTGAGTGGAGGGGCAGGCAGGGTCAAATGGGGACTCTAACACCTGACAGACCAGATGTACAGTCTGGACACAGACTCGCCGCTGTGTGGCTGGGCCTGAAGCAGAGGGGACAGGTGAGAGAGAGGTTAGAGGCTCTCAGGATGGAATCTAGACTGCTGGGGTGTCTGGGCTCTGCCTGGAAATGCTCCCTGGGCTAACCAGGAGCTCCAGGGGGAGACTTTGGCCCCAGACTCCCCTGTGCTGGCCTTTCCTCAGTGAGCATGCTGTGTGAACCTACCAGAAAGGACTGGTGAGCAGCGGGGAGGGTCATAAGAGAGGTCCTGAGTCTGATCTGTGTTTCCAACACCAGCACCAACGTCAAAGACACCTGCAAATACCACTCTAACTACAGCCTCCAAAGCCACAGTGGAAGGTCTACCTGTGTCGTCCACTCTGCTGCCTACAGAAAGTGCCACCCACAGTCCCAGCAGTCAGAACTCCAACCCGAGCCGGTGGCCATGGTAAGGTACTGTGACCCAGAGGTAGGTCTTCTCAGCCTAGGCTTACTTCCTGTCCAGTGGTCCAAACGTGGGCCAGTTAAGGGCTGGGCTCACACCCATGGGCTAGAACCTTAGGGTCCCCTGCTTTTGTGTGAAAAAAGAGGAACATAATGTATATTTGCATTTATATAAAAAGTCTCTGGGTGATACAATTCCATATCTACTGGGTACTGGGGCTCTGCATACACTGAGGCACACAAACAAAGTTGCAGGCCCCACCTGAATCCTTGGTCTCCCTCATGCCATCTTCATGGCTGGGTCCTTCCTCATGTTCCCAGTCCTAAGTTAAGAGGTAGGCACAGCAGTCCTTTGAGTGGTCAAGTGGGCAGATGTTCTTGAACCTTCCAGAGTTGGTCTTGATGTGAATTATTGGCGACACAGGACCTGGGCTCGTAGACAGGAAGAAGAGAAGGCTTAGAGCGTATCCCCTGGAGAAGGCAGCTCACTGTCTGTCACCATGTCCCCCACAGGTCTCTGCTCTGCAATATCCACTTCCTGCTCCTGGTCTTCCTGAAGGTGCCCCTGTTCCTGAGCATGCTCAGTGCTGTCCTCTGGGTGAACAGATCCCAGACGTTGAGGGGGAAGTTGAGAACCAGTAACACAGAGACAGACCCTCAGGGGGACTGAGAATCCTCTCAGTAATCAGAAAACTCTACAATATGTCATACACATTTAGTAATTTATCTCATACCGTTAGCAAAGAGTATTCTTCAACACCTGCTCGCCCACCTTATGTTTAAGAATGAGCACATCGCCTTGACTTGTTTTTTTATGCCTAGTCTGAGACAGGCATCCACCTTCCTTTGTTCACAGAGATAAATTCCACTCAGTTATAACAACTCCCTCCTTTCCCCAATGACCTGCTTTGTAGCTTCTGACAGATGTTGATTTCTGTGGATCTCTTTCTGAGTTCTTTGTTCTCTTTCATTAGTCTATTTCCTTATCCCTGAACCAATGCAACATTGTTTCAATATCTACAGCTTTTTAAAAATATCTTGTCATGTAAGTTATATCAACACATATTGTTCTTTTGTAGCCGGCATGTCTTTGCAAATATTGGCCCTTGCCTCTTCAATTAAAATTTTAGAATTAGCCAACCAAGTCTCTAAAACACACACAAAAATCTTTTGATATTTTAAAATGCAACTATATAATGTTCATCTTTATGATAGTAAAGATCTATGAACATACTATATAACTCTAGCTACCTTTTAACTTCTTAAATGTCTTAATAATGTTGCATTGTTCTCATTAAAATTGTTTATATACTAGATATAAATTAAATTTCATCATTCTTATTCAATCTGTATAATGAGTAAATAATCCAAGAAACTGGATGATATGATAATCCAAGAAGTTGAATGATATGAAGAAGAACATGGCATCAGGATTGGATGAAGACTCATTAACAACCTGCAATATGCAGATGATACAATTTTGCTCGCTGAAAGTGAAGAAGACTTAAAATACTTACTAATGAAGATCAAAGAGCATAGCCTTTGTCTTGGTCTTTGATCTTCATTAGTAAGTATGGTTTGCACCTCAGTGCAAAGAAAGCAAAAATCTTCACCACTGGACCAATAATTAGCATCATGATAACTGGAGAAAAGATTGAAGTTGTTAAAGACTTCATTTTGTTTGTATCTACAATCAGCACTCATGGAAACAGCAGTCAGGAAATCAAATGACATCATGCATTCATCAAATGGGCTGCACAAGCGCAAAAATAGCAGTTTGAGACTAAAGTGCACCTGACCTAAGCTGTGGTATTTTCAATAGACTTCTATTTATGTGGAAGTTGGTCAAAGAATAAGGAAAACTGTAGAAGAATTAATACACTTGAATTATAGGTACTGCCATAAGAACAAACAAATCTGTGTTGGAAGAAGTACAGCCAGCATGCTTCTTTGAGGCCAAGATGGTGCAACTTAGTCTCTCATACTTTGGACCTATATTCCCAGTCCCTGGAGAATGACATCATGCTTGGTAAAGTGGAGGGTCAATGAAGGAGAGGAAGACCCTCAACAAGATGGCCTGACATAGTAGCAGCAGCAATAGGCTCAAACATAACGATTGTGAGATTGTTGCAGGATCAGGCAGTGTTTTGTTCTGTTTTGCATAAGGTTGCTATGAATTGGAATAGGCTCAATGACACCTAACAACAATAGCAAGCTTTTTCATTGCTATTCGAAATTACATTTTATTGCATTTTCAAGCTATTCATGGCATATGTATAGATACACATTTAATCTTTGTATGTTGACCTTTAATACGTTGTTGCCAGATGCCATCAAATTGGTTCCAACCCATAGCGACTGTGTATAGGGTGTTTGAGGAGTGGCTGGTGAGCTTGAACCACCAACCTTGCAGTTCAAACTGACTTTGCAGTCCAGCACATTAACCCACCAGGACTCCAATCTTTAATATAGTAAGTCCAATAATATTTTAGGAATTCTTTTCAAGTCTACATGCAAACAATTCGTCTACAACTATTTAGAGTTTTGCTTTTTCCTTTCCAGCTCTCATATCTTTTACTTCTTTTTCTTGTTGCACGGTGAAGGCCGAGATTGCAATCCAGAGTTGAATGAAAGTGGTGATTACCAGCATCATTGTATTCTTCTTGATTTTAAAGGCAAGATTTTTGTTGCTTCACCACTGATTCTAATGCTCTTCAAAGATTTGCTTGCAGGTACCCTTCTATTCCTAGTTTATCATGAAAAGTAATGGATTTTAGATTGTGTGTTTTTTTATGCATGTATTTACATTATTACGCTTTTTTCTTTTATACTGTGAATGTGATAAATGACATACAATTTTAATACTGAAATAAAATTGCATTCTGGGATAAACCAAACCTACTCATAATGTATTCTCTGTTTTATTTATTGCTGCATACATTTTGCTAATGCTCTGTTTGGATGTTTTACAAGTACTTCATGAGTGAATTTGGTTTATGAATTTCCTCTGTCTTATATACTGGTCTGGCTGTGCATCAAAAGTTATTTTGACCTTAAAATATGACTTGAAGAGTGTTCTCTATATTTCTATTCTTAGAAGAGTTTCTTAAACATGAGAAAGATCTATTTCCTAAGTTTGGTATAATTTTCTGAAAAATCACTGGTCTTTCCTGTGAGTTGTTTCTTTTTTTTTTTTTCTTTTAAATGAGGAGATCTAGTGATTCTAAAAATTTTTTGTAGTTTCCATTTTAAAAAAATCAACTTTGTGATTTATAATAGTGTACAAACTTGTTCCTTTGACTGTTTTCAATTTTATCTATTTATTCATTTGCCTATTCAAATGTTTTTCATAATGTCATGCTTTTCATCACTGTTACAGCTAAATGTTTATCTTATTTTATTGTTATTGTTAAGTGCTTTTATGTTGGTTCTAACTCATAGTGACTCTGCATAGGGTTTCTGAGGAGCAGCGGGTGGATTTGTACTGCTGATCTGAGGCTAGCAGACCATTGCTTATGGCAGTGCCAAACTTTTTGTTAGTAATATCCAGTTTTGTCTTATTTCCTCACTTTATCTTGCCAGGCCTTGGGAGCCTTTCAGAGCAGTTCTACTTTGTCTCATAGGACCGCTAGGGGTCAGATTTAGTAGTAGTGGGCTGTTTTGTTTTGTTTTTGGATCTTGCCAGAGTTTTATCCATTAGGCTTTTCAAAGAATCAGATTTTGCTTGTGTGTGTGTTTAATTTTTCCTACAGTATGTTTTTCCTTCTTCTTTCCATTAAGTCCTGTCTTGTTTTCCCACCTCTTATTTCCTTTGGGTTTCGTCTAACTTTATTAAGTTGATGGCTTTGTTCAAACGTTTCAGACTTTATTTTTTTCCTAACAAGACTATAAATTGTCCTGTACATGTCACTTTAGCTGCACTCTATAGGTTTTCCTGTGCTATTTCCACTATTATTCAGTTATAGCTCTTATTATTTCTATTATGATTTCTTCTTTGACTCAAGTGTTACTGGGAAGCATGATTGTTGTTGTTTTTTCTGGAAAAAAATGTGTTTTTTAGTTTATATTTTTGTTAGATTTTTAAATAATATTTTGGGACGTTGGAGACTACAGTTAATTTAATAGCAATTCTTTGAAGTTTGCTGAGACTTACATTATGGCCTTGAACAACTTATTCTAAATTGACATCCAAAGAAAATGATTCTCTGGTGGTTTGGAGCAATTTTTCATGTGTATTACTGCTATACAATAAGTTGGCTGATCGAATATGTTGACTGATATTTTTCTTTGCCAGATCTATCCTTTACCAAAAAATAGGAACTTCCACAAGATGGATTTGCCACTTTCTCCTTGTATTTCTACTTTTGCTTTGTGTATTTGTGAGCAATGTAATTAGATGGATTCAGTTCAGTGTTGTTATAGCTTTCTGATGTATCCAATTGGTTATCATTGCCTAACCTGGAGTCCTGGTGTGGCACTGTAAGATTAGCACTGGACTGCTAACCACAGGTTGATGATTCAAACCCACCAGCTTCTCCTTGGAAACATTATACAGGGCCACTGCAAGTTGAAACTGACTTGATGGCACTTGACAACAACAAGAAGTCTGTGTCTAAGGAATCTTGGTAGCATAGTGGGTTCTGCATTGAGCTGCTAATGGTAGGGTCAGCAGTTAGAATCTACCAACTGCTCTGTGGGAGAAAGAAGAGGCTTTCTGCTCCTATAAAGATTTGTAAACTTGGAAACACTATACAGGGTCACTATGAGTCAGAACTGACCTGATGGCAAACAACCACCGCCAACCAGTCTGGGTTAATTCAAGATACAGAAGTCATAAAATAATTTGAATTTCTGGGTGTTGAAAGTGGTTAAGAGCTGGGTAACTAGCCAAAAAGTTGGCAGTTTGTTTCTATCCAGCGGTGCCTTGGAAGCCAAGCCTGGCAGTCAGCTTCCAATGGTCAGAGCCTTGAGAACTCTTTTGAGCTGCTTTACTCTGCTCACATAGGGTTGCCATGAGTTGCAATTGTCCGGACAGCAGGTAACAATAATAAGAAAGTTTAGCATAAAGAATTAATGACTATAACAAGGTATGATACTGATTCATTCATCCAAAAAGTTGGACTTTATGAAGAAGAACTGGCATCAGTATTGGTATAACCTTGTTTGCTGAAAGTGAAGAGTAGTACTTTTGGCATAGACCAGTAGATTGAAATTTACCTCCAAATATGGAGAGGTCCATGAGATCAAAGAAAGAAGCTGGCAACTCTGATTCTTTGGGCATGTTGCCAGGAGGGAACAGTCCCTGGAGAAGGACATCATGGTAAAGTTTAAGGTTCATGAAAAAGAGGTAGACCCCCAACAAGATGGACTGACACAATGAACTCAAACATAACAACAGTTGTCATGATACCATAGGACCGAGCAGTGTTTTGTTCTGTTTTGTGTAGGGTTGATATGAGTCAGAACTGACTCGACAGCACCTAACAACAACAACAAGACAATCCTGTAACAGAGAAGCCTCATTCGCAGTTAACATGATGTTCTTCCTCAATGTAATGAAGTCAGCAGTCAGTAATAGGGAAAGGAAGCAGAGACAGGTACCTTAGCAACCATCCCAGGCCTCTACTACGAGTGTCTAACAGGCATGTCATGTCCTGGATGGCAGCATGT